CTCACAACATTCTGTGATTCTATGATTCTGAGGAGGAGCAGCTGAGGTAACTAGGATTGGATGTGAGGAAGAATTTCTTTGCTGAAAGGGTTCTGAGGCATTGGAAGGGGTTGCCCAGGGCAGTGGTGGAGTCCCCATCCCTGGAGGGATTGAAGAGTCATGTAGACACAGTGCTGAAGGAATGGGCTAGTCAGGGACTTGTCAGTGTGAGATTAATGGTTGGACTCGATCTTAAAAGGTCTTTTCTGATTGAGGCAATTCTGGGATTCTGTGGTTTTCTGCAGTGGGATTCATTTCAGATCAACAGACAAATACTATCTAGGGTTAAAGTCTCTGTCCTTACTTTCCTGTCACCACAATCTCACTGGAAGACTGAAATAGTTTCTACCTGTAAAACACAAATATGCAATATGCACAAATCAGATCCAAGCCTGTTCCTGAACCTGGTCATACAAATTAGGAGCAATTCTGTTTAATACTGATCACAACAATAGTGTCTTCCAATTAGAAAACCTCATTATACAGGAACAAGGTAGTATAGTTATTTTCCAAAGATTATACATCAAAGGAGTAAATATAACAACCAGCACCAAAACTTTTGAGGTCACACTGAAGTTTAAATGACAGTCATTTTTCTGACAGTACAGGAACACATACTTACACTTTCATTCGTATTGAGGGTAAAGTTGATGTCTGAAACCCGATCAAAAGAAACACTAAAAAAAAAAAAAAAGTAGATTTATGCAATAAAACAAGATGATGTATTATGACATGAAGACATTTCGTTTCTCTTAGGCTTCTCATTTTCCAATCATCTAAAAATATAAGAATAAAGACAAAACAGTTTCCAACATAAAAGTGTTAAATTCCACACTGAGGAGACCTGGCATTCATGTGATTTTTCCAACAGTGAAAAGTTTTAAACAAAAATATGAGACAATGCTGTCTCTATCCTACACTTAGCTGTGAAGATGCAACAAGCCTAAGCAAGCATAATTGAAATTATATATGCAAATGAAATACTGTATTGTTATGCACTGGAATAAAAAAAAGTAGGCCTAAAGAATGCCTAAATCTAGCTATGGTCTAACACGATACAGCTCAAAACCCTCTAAAGATCTGCATTACCAGTTCCTGTACCTTCTAATCGACTTCACCACTCTGTAGGAGGACCTCTTCAACAGGAAGAGAGAAAGTGAAAGATGTACTATCAACTTCTGTTTCCCAAAGAAAAAAAATGAATTTTTTTTTTTTTTTTAAACCAATCACTGAAGTTTTTTTCCAAACTGAACACTAAATATTAGGCTTTACACATCTTCATATATTAAGCTATTGAGTAGTTTCCACTAATGTAATTACAAACATGTCTTAGACTAAAAAATAGCATTAGGCAAACTAAATCTCCAGGGGAAGAGAAAAAGAAACAGAGGGGAAAAAGATAGGAAACACTACCAGACTTTGAGAAGAGTTCATATATTCTTTCTCCAGCCACATAGAGCAGTGCATTCAGCAGAGCACATACTACTCTTCTTCTCATCCTCACAGCATTACAAAGTAGGGAACCACGTAAGTGGTCTAAAGGAACAGAAGTTTTAACTACTGTGCAAGTTACCATCTGAATTACTGCACAACAGGAAGCAGGTAACAAGCTGTGATTGATTCTTGCACAAAAGGCATAACTGTAAAGTAACTTTAATTCAACTCATGAGCACATCATCAGTACACCTATCACAAATCTCAAAGAGATCTGCTTACACAAGTAGTCATCTTATTTACACCAAGACCATACACTACCAAAGGCATGAAGGAATTCCAACTCCTGTCCTTGTCAAAATCCACTTGTTTCTAGCGGAGTATCCTGAGTTGCTTCCTCTCCCATCATATCTTCACGTATAATCTCAGCAGATTATGTGGTATAAAAAGGCAGCAATGCTTCTTAGATGGCACATGCAAGCTTCAGTCAACCATCACTTGTCTTACAGAAGAACACGAAGACATTTTATTTTACCCTTTTAGAAACCATCTTCAAGTAATGCTTTTTACTCTCATTGGCACGTTCTTGCATCCCAAGATAACTGTTTTCAGCAAGAACCCACATTCTTTCCTTTCCCATTATGGCAACAGTTTCATTAGAACTGAAAAAAGATCAGTTTTGTGGGGGCTGTTTTTGTTGTGGGCGGTTTTTTGTTTGTTTGTTTTAACCTGATCAAGATAATTCTCATTTCCTCATCGCTTACCCTATTTGCAGAAACGAGTCTTGACTGCCTTGAGCTTGAAAACAAAGGTAGCTTTACGATGCCCTTCCTTACTGTCCCCTACAGAAAAGTACACTCACAGACACGCTGTTCCTGATGCTGCTCCTGTCATCTTTTCCAGGAAAACTT